CACAGGCTGGCATGGGTAATATAAAGTCAGTGATGATCAGGTGTTGATCTAGAATAGTTGCAAGCAATGGATTCTTTTTCAGCCAAGTCTATGTGATTACATGTTCATTAAAATCTTGCTTCTATTGGATAACTTCAGACCAGTTCTGCAACACAAAACTAATAAAAGATAAATCTGTAATCTAAAAAATCATGTATTGTATCAAAACTAACAAAAGAAACCTTGATCTTATAATTCAATATCATAATAAATTGTTCATTATTAGTCTCACATATGATAATATCATTGAATAAATCATGCACAGTATACTAAGCCAGCTGTTTCCTTGGAAAGGACTGCTACAAATACCCCATAGCCTGCTTGCATTTGAATAATGCTTATCTCTATTCATGTCTGCAGATTGTTCTACTTCCTTTGTTCAACAACCTCCTGGGTACAATCAGCATATTTGTATAATGTAGCAGCAGAAGTTTTAAATAGTCTCATAATTATTGCCAATCTGGAAAAGAGTATTCTTTGTCTTTTTAATGGCATGAGTATTGCTGTTATTGTTCCAACTATAATTTATTTTACCCAACCTGAATCAGCATTCCTGGATATAAACTGAATCGGCATGTGCTCTCTTGTTTTGTCCTAGCTATGTTGTTCATTTTACCCTTTAGATAAACATTAAATAAAAAAAAAACTGAATTATTGCTATAAACATTGGAAGGTAAAATGATGGCTTCTGTCATCCTTTTCCTTTTACTAACTGTATGCTTTTGTTGTGGGATTTTAACCTCATATTTGAATGAAATACGACCTAGATTGCCAATTATTTTCTTACAGTTTTGCCAATAGTAGTTATTTTTATTTGCCAATGTGTAAATCTGTAACACAAAAAATAAACATGGGCTGGGATACTGTATCATAGTTGCCAACATTTTAAAGTTATTTCTAGAAATACAAAGGGGTTGATTTATTGGTGGAGAGACTGGTCACTTTGCATAGTGTATTTTATTTTGCTATAGAATAGAAAGATGAATTTGTTTTCACTTTGAATATCCAAGTATGTGCTAATAATAATCCTGTTTTTTTATAATTTACCTTACACATAATTTGGTATTCAAGTGGAATACAGATTCACCATTTTGCTATGTGAACAGCCTTTAATCCTATGGCAAATCAACCCCAATGGGTGTGATTCACACATTTGATCTTCCTTCACACTGTAGGAAATCTATCACTTTGTCTAACCAGTTACAATACTGATGGTGGTGTTTTATTAGCATTAATATTCATTATTAGTCCTGTAAGGGAAGATGTCTTTATCTATATATTTGTTCCATCAACTCTGTTGGAAGGAAAAATGCCTTTATTTATTTTTTTGTTGTAACAAAGCAATGATTAAAAAAAAATGTCTATCATGTTTATTTATACAAAAAATGAAAAAAAAAAAATGGGGACAGCTTAGCAAAACAAAACACTAGGTTTTTGAAAAGTGATTTACAGGGACTATTTCGTTTTTCAAAATATTTTTCATGTATTATGTTCAGGATAAGACAGTTGTTTTTTATATTTTTTAGTTGGGTAAATATGAAGTATTGCATATCATTATTTGATATTAACTACTTGTAGCCAGCAGCTGGTAAGTGTAAGTATGGAATTTAGGATTTAAGCAGGTTTACTGCCATGTTGTCTATATAGACTTGATTAAAGTGGTTGTGAAACCTCAAGGATTTTTACCTTCCATGCATTCTTTGCATAAAAAAACATTCTGTGTGGAGCAGGGTTTCCCCATTCAGCACTGACTGTGTTGATGGGGGAAACGAACAATTTTCTTTCTTGCAACCAAGGGTAAAGTCAGTTTAATGACTCAGACTTTGGTCTACAGGAGTATTAAACTTGATATCTCTTGCCTTTTTGCCTTTTTTTTTAATGAAGTGACTGTCACTTAAATAAATTTGCAAAATAAAAGAAAAAAACTCTACTTGCAGTGGAGGGAAATCAGCAAAGGTTCACTTTCAGGATATACTTCAGCAGAGGATTTCTCTTGAACAGAGCAGAGGATTTCTCTTGTAAAAAGCATCATTTTGGCAGCATTAAGCAGTAGGAAAAATACGTATTACAATCTTTTTTAACCACTTCAAGACTGGACTGTTTCACCCCCTTCCTTCCAAGGCCATTTTGCAGATTTCAGCAATGCCACAATGTGAATGACAATTACTCAGTCATGCAATACTGTACCCAAATGAAATTTATAGTTTGAGACAAATAGAGCTTTCTTTTAGTGGAATTTAATCACCTCTGGGTCCTCTTTTTTTTTTGTGCTATACTGTATAAGGGAATTTTGAAAAACCTGTTTTTGTTACAAATGTTACAAAGAAATAATCATTCTTCATAAGTTTAGGCTAAAATTTCTTTTTCTAAATTTATTTGGTAAAATATAATGCAAACTAGTGTACATTATTTAGTCTGTGTGAAAGTTATAGAGCCTACAAACTATGGTGTATACAGTATATATTTGAAAATTGATCAGTCTTGATGTACTGACTGCCAATCTTATTTCTTGAGGCCCTAAAATGCCAAGACAGTATAAATAACTCCCAAATGACACCTTTTTGGAAAGTAGACAGTCCGAGGTATTTAGCAAGAAGCATTGTAAGTAAGTTTTTTTTAGGCTGTAATTTTATCTTATATCTTTTTGCAAAATTAAGAAATTAAATAAAATTAGTTTTTTCACAAAGTTGTCATTGTTACAAGTAGAGATGAGCGAATCGAACCAGGCGAAGTGGAATTCGTTTCGAATTTCAGGAAAAATTCGATTCGTGCCGAATCCGAATATTAGCCAACTTCGGGTGCGCGAATCGGATTTTTCCCGATCAGCCGGCAAAAAGTGTCCCTGCAGAGAGCTCCGCTATTTCTGACAGTTCTCTGACTGACAGTTCCTTCACATTTACAGCGGTTGAAACATTGTATCTATTTGTTTCCATTTAGGATACAGATGTTTTTATTCGGAAACAGATACAATGTTTCAACCGCTGTAAATGTGAAGGAACTGTCAGAGAACTGTCAGAAATAGCGGAGCTCTCTGCAGATACACTTTTTGCTGTACTGGAATACTTCTTCTTTTCATTCTTCTTTTCATTCTTCTCATTCTTCTTTTCATTCTTCTTTTCATTCTTCTTCTTCTTCTTTTCATTCTTCTTTTCATTCTTCTTCTTCTTCTTTTCATTCTTCTTCTTCTTCTTTTCATTCTTCTTTTCATTCTTCTTCTTCTTCTTTTCATTCTTCTTCTTCTTCTTCTTTTCATTCTTCTTTTCATTCTTCTTCTTCTTCATTTCTTCTTCTTCATTCTTTCATTCTTCTTTTCATTCATCTTCTTCTTCTTCTTTTCATTCTTCTTCTTCTTCTTTTCATTCTTCTTTTCATTCTTCTTCTTTTCATTCTTCTTCTTCTTCTTTCATTCTTCTTTTCATTCTTCTTCTTCTTCTTTTCATTCTTCTTCTTCTTCTTTTCTTCTTTTCATTCTTCTTTTCATTCTTCTTCTTCTTCTTTTCTTCTTCTTCTTCTTTTCATTCTTCTTTTCATTCTTCTTCTTCTTCTTTTCATTCTTCTCATTCTTCTTCTCATTCTTCTTTTCATTCTTCTTCTCATTCTTCATTTTCATTCTTCTTCTTCTTTTCATTCTTCTCATTCTTCTTTTCATTCTTCTTCTTCTTCTTTTCATTCTTCCTTCTTCTTTTCATTCTTCTTTTCATTCTTCTTCTTCTTCTTTTCATTCTTTCTCATTCTTCTTTTCATTCTTCTTCTTCTTCTTTTCATTCTTCTTCTTCTTCTTTTCATTCTTTCTCATTCTTTTTCATTCTTCTTTTCATTCTTCTTCTCTTTTCATTCTTCTTCTTCTTTTCATTCTTCTTCTTCTTCTTTTCATTCTTCTTCTTCTTCTTTTTCATTCTTCTTCTTCTTCTTTTCATTCTTCTTTTCATTCTTCTTCTTCTTTTCATTCTTCTTCTTTTCATTCTTCTTTTCATTCTTCTCATTCTTCTTCTCATTCTTCTTTTCATTCTTCTTCTTCTTTTCATTTCTTTTCTTTTCATTCTTCTTTCTTCTTCTTTTCATTCTTCTTCTTCTTTTTTTTTCATTCTTTCATTCTTCTTTTCATTCTTCTTCTTCATTCTTCTTTTCATTCTTCTTTTCATTCTTCTTCTTCTTTTCATTCTTCTTCTTCTTTCTTTTCATTCTTCTTTCTTCTTTTCATTCTTCTTCTTCTTCTTTTCATTCTTCTCATTCTTCTTCTTTTCTTCTTCTTCTTTTCATTCTTCTTTCATTCTTCTTTTCATTCTTCTTCTTCGTTTCATTCTTCTTTTCATTCTTCTCATTCTTCTTTTCATTCTTCTTTTCATTCTTTTTTCTTTTTCTTTTCATTCTTCTTCTTCTTTTCATTCTTCTTTTTTCATTCTTCTTCTTCTTCTTCTTTTCATTCTTCTCATTCTTCTTTTCATTCTTCTTTTTTCTTTTCATTCTTCTCATTCTTCTTTTCATTCTTCTTCTTCTTCTTTTCATTCTTCTTCTTCTTTTTTCATTCTTCTTCTTCTTCTTCTTCTTTTCATTCTTCTTCTTCTTTTTTTCTTTTTCATCTTCTTCTTCTTCTTTTCATTCTTCTTTTCATTCTTCTTCTTCTTCTTTTCTTCTTCTTCTTCTGGCAACTCCACCACGCAGCTCATTTTTGTTCCAGTATTACTGTATTTTGCTCCTTCAAAATCCTGAAACTTTCTTTTGGCAGGTGTACAGACTCAGGTACTCAGTGCAGGAATGGTGGGAATCCCTCACAATGGACACAGCAGGTGTACATACAGACCCAGGAATTCAACACAGGGACAGTGGGAACCCCTAATAATGGGTAAAGCAGGTGGGCAGACCCGGAATCTCAGCACATGGATGGTAGGAACCCCTCATAATGGGCACAGCAGGTGTGCATACCCAGAACCTCAGCACAGGGATGGTGGGAACCCCTAGTAATGGGCGCAGCAGGTGTGCAGACCTGGGACCTCAGCACAGGGATGGTAGAAACCCCTCATAATGGGAACAGCAGGTGTACAGACCCAGGAATTTAGCACAGGGATGGTGGGAACTCCTCCTAATGGGCAGAGCAGGTGTACAGACCCAGGAACTCAGCACAGGGATGGTGGGAACTTCTCATAATGGGCACAGCAGGTGTGCAGACCTGGAACCTTAGCACAGGGATGGTGGGAACCCCTCATAATGGGCACAGCAGGTGTGCATACCCAGAACCTCAGCACAGGGGATGGTGGGAACCCCTAGTAATGGGCGCAGCAGGTGTGCAGACCTGGGACCTCAGCACAGGGATGGTGGAAACCCCTCATAATGGGAACAGCAGGTGTACAGACCCAGGAATTTAGCACAGGGATGGTGGGAACTCCTCCTCCTAATGGAACTCCAGCACATGGTGGGAACATTTTCCATTCTTAGAGCAGGTGTACAGACCCAGGAACTCAGCACAGGGATGGTGGGAACTTCTCATAATGGGCGCAGCAGGTGTGCAGACCTGGAACCTCAGCACAGGGATGGTGGGAACCCCTCATAATGGGCACAGCAGGTGTGCATACCCAGAACCTCAGCACAGGGATGGTGGGAACCCCTAGTAATGGGCGCAGCAGGTGTGCAGACCTGGGACCTCAGCACGGGGATGGTAGAAACCCCTCATAATGGGAACAGCAGGTGTACAGACCCAGGAATTTAGCACAGGGATGGTGGGAACTCCTCCTAATGGGCAGAGCAGGTGTACAGACCCAGGAACTCAGCACAGGGATGGTGGGAACTTCTCATAATGGGCGCAGCAGGTGTGCAGACCTGGAACCTCAGCACAGGGATGGTGGGAACCCCTCATAATGGGCACAGCAGGTGTGCATACCCAGAACCTCAGCACAGGGATGGTGGGAACCCCTAGTAATGGGCGCAGCAGGTGTGCAGACCTGGGACCTCAGCACAGGGATGGTAGAAACCCCTCATAATGGGAACAGCAGGTGTACAGACCCAGGAATTTAGCACAGGGATGGTGGGAACTCCTCCTAATGGGCAGAGCAGGTGTACAGACCCAGGAACTCAGCACAGGGATGGTGGGAACTTCTCATAATGGGCGCAGCAGGTGTGCAAACCTGGAACCTCAGCACAGGGATGGTGGGAACCCCTCATAATGGGCACAGCAGGTGTGCATACCCAGAACCTCAGCACAGGGATGGTGGGAACCCCTCATAATGGGCACAGCAGGTGTTAGGGGGTTTAACTCTCCAGCATCCATTAGAGACTGATATAGTAATATAGTTCATTCTTATTTTCATTCTTATTTTTCATTCTTCTTCTTTTCATTCTTCTTCTTCTTTTCATTCTTCTTTTCATTCTTCTTCTTCTTTTCATTCTTCTTTTCATTCTTCTTCTTCTTTTCATTCTTTCTTCTTCTTCTTCATTCTTCTTCTTCTTTTCATTCTTCTTCTTTTCATTCTTCTTTTCATTCTTCTCATTCTTCTTTTCATTCTTCTTCTCATTCTTCTTTTCTTTTCATTCTTCTTCTTTTCATTCTTCTTCTTCTTTTCATTCTTCTTTTCATTCTTCTCATTCTTCTTTTCATTCTTCTTTTCATTCTTCTTCTTCTTCTTTTCATTTCATTCTTCTTCTTCTTTTCATTCTTCTCATTCTTCTTTTCATTCTTCTTCTTCTTCTTTTCATTCTACTTCTTCTTCTTTTCATTCTTCTTTTTCATTCTTCTTCTTCTTCTTTTCATTCTTCATTCTTCTTCTTTTCATTCTTCTTCTTCTTCTTCTTTTCATTCTTCTTTTCATTCTTCTTCTACTTCTTTTCATTCTTCTTCTTCTTCTTTTCATTCTTCTTCTTCGTCGTGCCCCATGACTGCCCAAATGAGTGAAGTGTGCGGTGATTCTAAGATCGACGGCACTCATCTGCATGTCATACTGACTGTCAGTATTATTTCTCTTCCCCAGCAGACTCCAAGGGCATTTAAATTAAAGGTACAGTGTTCTGCACTAATATAAAGGCTCTCTGAAGCCTAGAAACCCTTTTAATTAGTTAAATTCGCAGCGAATAAATTCGCATCGAATCGAATTTCTCCCGCAAATTCGGCGAATCAGCCGAATCGAATTTTTGAATAATTCGCTCATCTCTAGTTACAAGTTATTTCTCACACGCAGCACAGGCATACTTACAAGTATACCCAAAAACAATTTTCTATGCCTCCTGAGTATGGGTGTACCATGTGTGTGAGAATTTTTCACAGCCTAGTTGCATAGATGGCCCATAATCCAAAGAACACCTTTGGGCTTTCAAGGAGCATAAGTTATGTGTCTAGTTTCCTGAATACTTGCCAAGACAGGAGAAACACATGACAGCATATTGGAAAGCAAACACCACAAGGTATTTTCTGGAAGGCATAGTGGGTCTTTTAAAAATGCCATTCTTTTGCCAAAGGTTTTTGGAAAATGCAGGGAAGAAAATTAAAGTGCATTTTTTTACACAAAGTTGTAAATTTTATAATATAATTCTAACACACATCATAGGCATACTTAGAATTACACCCCCAAACGCATTCTGCTATTCCTTCTAAGTATGGTGATACCGTGTGAGACTTTTTCACAGCCTAGCCACATAGAGGAGCCTAAAATTCAAGCAGCACCTTCAGGTGTTCTAGAGGTATAAATTACCCATCTAATTTCCTGACTACCTGTCACATTTGTGGAGGCCCTGGAGCACCAGGACAGTTGAAACACAAACAAAGTGACCACATTTTGAAAGCAAATGCGGAATAAAAATAAAAAACATTTTTTACACAAAATGATCAAGTAATAAGATATTTATAACACACAGCATAGGCATGCTTAGAATTACACCCCAAAACACATTCTGCTACTCCTTCTGATGTGATGTGAATTTTTCACAGTCAAACCACATAGAGATTCCCAGAATCCATAGGGCACCTTCAGGCTTTCTAGGGGTGTAAATTACATATCTAATTTTCTAAAAAATCTTTTAAATTTTTTGAAGCCCTGGAGCAGGGGCGGACTGACAACTCATGGGGCCCCCGGACAATAGGGGATCATGGGGCCCCTGTGTCCTTGCCTAAACTCAAAAAAGCCTATTAAAAAGGTACCAGGGGCATCTCATGGGGCCCCCTACTGACCCCGGGCCCTCGGGCAGTGCCCAAGTTTCCAAATGGTCAGTCCGCCCCTGCCCTGGAGCACCAGGACAGTAGAGAAACACCCATAAAATTACTACATTTTGGAGAGAAAACACATCAAGGATTTTTTTTAAGAAGCATGGTGAGTCTTTTGAACACTTCATACTTTTGCCACAAGTTTTTGGAAAATGTGGATACTTTGAATACTTCAAATCACAACCTTAAACATTCTGCTACTCCTCTTGAATATGGCGATACCACAAGTGTGTGAGACTTTTTCAATGTTTGGACTGATTACGTACTAGACATTGTATCTTCTATATAGCACAAATAACTTACTGTAGCTTCACCTATAGCAGTCCCCATTCCTATAAGCCATGTAAACCAAGCCTGCTGGTACGTGGCTGCCTCCGGGAATTCCATGTTCACTAGCCAGGAAGTACAGGAGGCGGAAGGAGAAACAAAAATGAGAAACAAAAGAGTTCATGTGGTTCCAGGAGTGCAGTTGTCCACAGGGGAAGGCTGGGACTGGTGTCAGGCAGCAACATAGTCAGTCAGATGTATAGATGGGTCAGTCCAGGCAGCAGGCAGAAACATGGTTACTTAACAGGCCAGGATCAATACAGGCGGTAGACAGAGGCAACACTTCAATGGTGTCATGCTGATCAGGAACACTGCTGCTGGCTGCACTGGTCTGGTGACACTGAGATTTGTGTACTGGTGGCCAGGAACACTGTTGCTGGCTTATACTGGTCTGGTGACACTAGGGACTAGTGTGGCAGCAATCAGGAACACTGTTGCTGACTTACATTGATCTGGTGACTAGGACTGGTGTGGCAACCATCATGGACACTGCTGCTGGCTTAGACTGATCTGGCAACAGTGGGATTGGTGTGGCAGTGATCAGATAAACTATTGATGGCTGCACTGGTCTGGTGTGGAGTGATACAAGGAGGTGATATAATTTGTTTTTACTGCTCTGGCGGTTGATCAGGTTTCCTTTTTTATGCTGATATTGCTTACACAGTGCTGTCTTTGCTTAATACTGTAAATGTGGTGATTGGCCACAAGAATCATGTGGTAAAGGGCCAATTTCCATTGATCGCAGTAATAAACAAAGGCTTCTTGAATGAAACCTTCTGTTTACTACTACTGTGATTGGCCACAGTGATCACATGGTACAGAGCCAATGACAATGGCCCTGTACCCCAATCTGTTATTTGCTGTGTCCAAGGGACACAGTGATCACAGAACACACTGCTGCATGGCCTCGAGGCCTTGCTTGAGTGGCGGCAAAAATGGGAGGACTTTGAAGGTGCACCTTTTATTGTCAAATTGTGTTAGGCAGCATAGTCAATTTAACTATACGCATTAAAAACTAAATAGAATTGGCTATAACATTTTAATTCTCCTTTAAGAGTAGTAACACAATTTGAGACTAGAACATCTAGAAGTAGTCGTGATTAAATACATTCCTTCTGATCTATGTGTATTTTTGATTCTTGATTTCTTTGTACTTTCTAGAAAGTGACCCAGGTGCACAACCACACAGAGGAAAATGAACATGTTTGCTCTTTTGCAGAAGACATTATCTCTCAGGGTCCTGACTTGACCTGACCCTTCTCAATGTTTGTTTTATATTACCACAGATGGATTTGTATATGAATACAGTTTTGTTGTCTTTGCTTCCAAGTATAGCACATAACATTTTCAGACACATTTTTATTTTATTCGGTATAATATTTGGTGCCTGGAGCTTAGGTTGACAGTGACTTTTGCAAGGTCATGCACAGTATTGGCAAGGGATTCAAAGTGGTAGAAAAAGCAATTTTCTTTTAAAATCTCTGTAATTAAAGAAGTACACTTTGATTGTTTTTATAATTTAACATGTAAACATACATTTGCATACACATAACGGTACTAGTAAAATAGTATTATTGAGATGTATCACTGGTTAACTCTAATCATTTTACATTTAAAATCCATCTAAATGATTGTTTACTTAAGCCAAGAATTCAGCCAAAACACAGCTTTTATTGCAGTCTTTAATTATAAGGGCAAAAAAGGTATTGTCCTCTAACCAGCAATAGGCCAAGTAGTCTGTTAAAATGAAAACAAATACTCATTCAATGCTTAAGCTTTAACCACTTGCCCTCCGGAGGATTTACCCTTTTCCTGACCAGGCCATTTTTTGTGATACGGCGCTGCGTTACTATAACTGACAATTGCACAGTCAAGCAACGCTGCACCCAAATGAAATGTATGTCCTTTTTTTTCCCACAAATGGAGCCTTCTTTTTTTTTGGTGGTATTTGATCGCCTCTGCGTTTTTTTGTGCTATAAACAAAAAAAGACCGAAAAAAAAATATTTTAGATTTTTTAATATTAACTCCTTGATGCCCTTTAGTGGGGAGGCAGGGCGGGGTTTTAGGCTCATGTGACCACCATAATTTGCTGTCACGGCAGTCACATGATCAGGAAAGGTCCTGATCGAAAGAGGAGATCGGGACCTTTCCCGTGAGTACCGGACATGTGTGCTGAGAGCGTGCAGGGCGCACACTCTCAGCACATATGTTTTTCTTAATTGCACGCAAATGTGCAGCCGCTCGGCGTCAAGGCCCAGACGCCGGGAGGCCACACATTTGCGTGCGTCCAGAACCAAGAAGTTAAACATGTCCAGTAAAAAAAATTTAAAAAATCAAATTTCATCATAAATTTAGGCCAAAATGTATTCTGCTACGTCTTTGCTAAAAAAAAAATCCCAATATGTGTAAATTAATTGGTTTATGCGAAAGTTAAATGATGGTATATATACTGGAATTTTATTTTTATATTAGTAATGGCTAGTACTAGTATACTAGTAATGGCAGCGATCAGCGACTTATAGAGGGAGTGCTCACTGACATCCCCAGTGACACTAATACAGTGATCAGTGCTAATAAAAAGCACTGACACTGTACTAATGGCACTGGGCAGCAAGGGGTTAACATCTGGGGCAATCAAAGGGTTAACTGTGTGCTGGTTTATTGTGTGCTTTGTGTGTGTTTTACAGTGTAAGCACATTGCTTTGTATTGCTCTGCTATGCAGAGCAATACAAGGCAGTTTGCTGGAGCTGACAGGGGAGAGATCTGTATTGTTTACATACAGACCTCTCCCCCATAAGTGATACTCAGCGATCGCCAGGTGCCGGCAGGGAATCACTGTCTGGGACCTGGTGATCAACGGCTGAAGCCGCCAACGGCGGTGAGGGTAGGGCACCCGCATGCACACCCCATACCTGGAAATGTGAAATCACATATATATACGTGATTTTGTGCAGACCTGCCGCCGTGTAGCAGTATTTCTGCTATAGGGTGGTGGGCAAGTGGTTAATTATAAATAAAATTAAATTTCATTAAATATTCAATAATACTGAATAAGGAAGTATGACGTAAAATGCGAAATGATTTTCTGATTTAGAAGTCTAAACTTGAGTAAACAGGTTTAACTTAATAGCAGTGTTTTTTACCTACATTTCTTTGACTCATCCACTGCTCCATTTCCCTGGTGAAGAGAAGAAGCAAATTGGAGCTTACACATGGCTGATGACTCTCTCCCCTTTCCCATGTTACAATGGCAGAGATTTACTAAAACTGGAGCACTCAGACTCTGGTTCAGCTGTGCATGGTAGCCAATCAGCTTCTAACTTCAGCTTGTTCAATTAACCTTTGACAATAAAATCTGGAAGCTGATTGGTTTCTATGCAGAGCTGCAGCATATTTTGTGCTCTCCAGTTTTACTAAATAACCCCCAATGTGTCTGAGCAGACAATCACCAAACACCAGTGCTACCATGTGAGAGATAGTATGGTGAGCCATATACTTTCTCATATTCAGAAATGCCAAGCATGTCATTTTGCTTCTTTAGGAAAATTGAGCAGTGAGGTACAAAAAAAATGTAGGTATTGACAGATCTACAAGAGGCAGTAAAGTTAACTTTTTGCTTTGCTCAGCAATGGAAAAGTCCAAATTTTAAATTAAGTTAAATAACTACTCTTGTTCTGTCTCTCCAATCTAAGCATTGAAAGTGTGATCTCTGTAACTTACAGTTGAGATGAGATAGCGATAACTCCAATCTTAGTTGAATAACACAGGCAGTGACTTGATCAGATGACACCTTGTAGATCTTGTGAAGTTTATTCCATAAACTGAGAGAATATTACAACAATGAACATCAGATAGGTCAAAAGATCATAATGTGATCTGCTTCATGACATGAGGCTAGAAGCTAAAAATGCATTACTGGGAAAAGGGGTGGGCTATCTATACAGCAAGAACTAAACCAAAGGAAAGGGAGGAGCAGAGACAAAGTACAAAGAACACTTAAAGGCATATGACAGTCATGTGAAACATGACACTCCCCGTCGAAATCTATGATTTCTATTATAACAAACTTTAGTCCAATATAAAAAATTAAGATTATTTCCAGGAACATCTGCAAAACAAGAGGGAAAAGAAGAACAAAGGAAAACAATGCAAACATTTAGCATAATACTTGCAGATGTTGGTTTCAAAAGTCCAGACTGAGACATGGAAATCCATATTCAGAGGGGAAGGCAGCAACATGCACTATTCCTTCTTACCTCCCTTTAAATCAAGTTGATGACTTGTCTTCCTCTTTGGGCAAAAGAAGTACTAGTTCCTTTATAGGCCTGAAGTAAAGGTGTGCAGAACCTTCTTTCATGGTGAATGGTCCAAAATGTGTCTGGAATGCAGTAGTAGGTATTGCACGACTGCCGCAGTCAGCAGGGTTGAGGCTAGTGGGAACATAGTGCCATTGTTCAGACATAGAGAACTTCCTTATGCGTTCCACTCTGTTGCCGACAGACACGTAGAACTGTTTTGTGCGATTGTGTATATATCCAAGCACTATTTTGCTGTCTGTATAAAAGTCAAAGGAGTCTATTTCAACATCTGTTTCAAGTTCTATAAGCTCAGAAATTTCCACAGCTAACACAGCTGCACAAAGTTCAAGCCTTGGAATAGTATGTACAGGTTTGGGTGTGAGCTTGGTCTTGTCAATGATAAATCCTACACCCACTTCACAGCTGGGATCCGTAGCTCGAAGATAAGCCACCGCAGCAATGGCTTCGTTGGATGCATCAGAGAAGACATGAATCTCTCTTCTGCTGACATTCTTTAAGGATGCTTGGGTGTAAAAGCGTGGTATCTGGAGTTGTTCTAATGCTTTTAGAGACTGTTTCCAGGATTCCCACCTTTGTTGTTTCTCCTTGGGTAAGGGGGTATCCCAGTCTGAACTTTCAGAAGTAAGTTGTCTCAGCAGTACCTTACCCTGAATGGTGAGAGGTGTAATGAAACCTAAGGGATCATAAATGCTGTTCACTGTAGACAAAACTCCTCGCTTTGTGAAGGGCTTGTCACAGGCTGATGCTTGAAATGCGAATGTGTATTTTTTAACATTCCAAAGCAATCCAAGACTGCGTTGTGTAACAGAAAGGTCAGATCCTAGTTAGAATTTCTTCACACTGACAGCATGGTCATCAGAAGGATTGGCTATTGTGACCTTTTCGCTGTTAGAGATGATTTTGTGAAGTCTGAGGTTTGCGGTGGCAAGCATGTTCTGCGTTCTAGTAAGAAGGTCAATAGCTCCTTCTTCATTGGGCAGAGATTTGAGTCCTTCGTTTACATAGAAATTCCTTTTCGATGAACTGTCTTGCATCAGATCCAAATTCTTTCTCACCCTCTTGAGCTGTTTTCCTCAGTCCATACATTGCTACTGCAGGAGAAGGACTGTTACCGAAAACATGTACCTTCATTCGGTAGTCTATGACTTCTTCATTGACATCATTATTTCGGTACCATCGGAACCTGTGGAAGTTTCTGTAGTCTTCACAGACGATGAAACAGTGGAACATCTGCTGAATCTCAGCCATAACAGCAATTGGGTCTTGTCTGAAGCAAAGCAAAACTCCTATGAGATTGTTGTTCAGATTAGGCCCAGTGAGAAGATTGTCATTGAGGGAGATGCCTTCATGACGAGCACTTGAGTCAAAGACCACCCTAATCTGATCAGGCTTGCGAGGATGGTAGACACCAAAGCATTGTAGGTACCAACATTCTTCTCCTTCCATAAGAGGAGGTGCAGGCTCAGCATGATCTCTCTCAAACACCTTGTGCATAAAGTCCACAAAGTGCTTTTTCATCTCAGGCTTCTGGTTAAAACTGCGATTTAAAGAAACAAATCATGATTCTGCATGTACCCTATTGTTTGGTAGTCTCTTTCTTGGGGTAGGAAATGGTAGAGGTGCTACCCAACAGTTGGAATCATCTTGGCAGAACTCTTTACTCATGGTTTTCAAAAATTCTTTGTCTTCTGTGGTGGCTACCAACTCATTGTCTTTAATGGTTACCTCAAACACTGTGGCAACACATGTTGTCATCCCAGAGATTAAGAGCTTTCTTATTGTCTTGTATGATGGGTCGTTGTGCACCTTTTTCAAACAGATATATTTATGTGGTCGTGCAGAACAAGTTGTTCATCCATTTGACAGGACATGTGTTTTAAAGGAAGAGGCTGAGTAGGACCTTCTGTACTTGTCTAGGCAGACATTGCCTATTATGATCCATCCTAGATCCAGACGCTGAGCATATGGTGCATTGTGTGGACCATTGATTTGAGGACAAACTTTGTGCACGCTTAAGTGGTCTCGACCGAGTAACAGGAGGATATCAGCACATTCATCGAGGACTGGTATTCGGTTGGCTATGTGCTTTAAGTGAGAATGGTGAAAAGCAGCTTCAGGAGTAGGGATCCCTCTTTGGTGTTTAGAATCTGGTTGCACTCAGTGATAGTGGGCAAAGATATTTCCACATTGTCATTCAGAGGAGTAACTACAAGACCACTGGCTCTCCTACCTATGACTTCTGTAGTGCTGGAACAAGTGCTTAGGGTATAAGGCAGAGCATCTCCAGTTATGTTCAACAGTTCAAAAAACTGAGTTCTTGCAAGAGATCTGTTACTCTGATCATCCAGAATAGTATACAGTTTTATGGCCTTTTCAGGTTGACCTTTGGGGTATACACAGACCAAGCATATCTTTGCACAGGATTTGATGCAGAATCCTTCTCCACAGACCTCTGTACATGTAGAGAACACTGGGGTGGTAGGTGCTGCTTGATCTGGGTGCTCCTCACCTTGCTTTGCCTCAGGAAGATTGTTTGTGAGAGTAGTAGGCTTGTGCGAATATTGATGAAGATCTTGAACATGGTCATCACTGTCGCACTCTATACATTTGATGATCGCTTTACAGTCCTTTGCAAAGTGTTCTGTGGAGGCACAGCATTTGTAGCAAACCCCAAATTTCTTCAAAAGTTCTTTACATTCTTGGAGGGTTTTCTTTCTGAAGACGATACATTTCTTAAGTGGATGTGGTTTGTTATGTATTGGACATTGGCAATTTGGGTCCTCAATTTTCTTGTTTTGATCAGTCTTTTCAAGAACTGTAGCAGGTGCAGGTAGAACACTAGTCCTTTTCACTAACACTGGACCTCTATAGTCTCTGTGCGACATACCTGTGTTCATAGGTCTTGGAGAGAGTGTACTGAGTGAGTTACAGTCCCCATAGGAGAAACTTGGGTCATTCTTGGTGTCTGCAATTCTTTTGATGAACTTGCAGAAGTAAGAAAATGGAGGACTATGGCAACTCTATGTTCTTCCTTATACTTTGATCCAAGCGCTGCCCATCTTTCTTGAATTCCATATGGTAGCTTGAGAACAATATATTTGATGCCATGAGAGGTGTCAAGGTAACTGAGACCAGGTAAGTTGATGTCAGCCTTAGCAAGCTGAAGCTCTAATAGAACATCTCTGAGTTCTGGAAACTTTAGATTATTGGTAGCAGAAATCCTTGGGAAGCTTTGCAACCTTTTGAATAAAGCATCTTCAATGGCCTCTGGGCTGCCAAAGGTATGTTCAAGTCTGCCCCAAGCAGCATTAAGGCCTGCAGCAGGGTTGTCAATATGAACTGCTTTGAGCCTCTTAATGCGTTCAGTAGACTGGGGAACCCAGCCATCTGATGAGTAGATCTAATTCCTCTGTGGCATTAATGTCTAGGTCACTCATTGTGGCCTTAAAAGTGGATTTCTAGCCTCTGTCATTTTCAGGCTTGTCATCAAACTTGGTGAGGCCTGTCTTAACAAGCTGTGTGCGGAGCATGTATTTAGCAAACTGTGGCATGACTGCAGGTG